CGGCTCCAGTACCTCCTCAGCCCTCGCTTCGCAGGATCCCACACAACCTTCGCCACTGCACCAGGCCCGCCTAGAGCATGTCCGGGGGTACACTTGGCACCCCATGCTAAGACTGGACTTCGGCATCCTCGCCGAGTTCGGGTGGGAAGACGACATTCGCGCCCACATCGATAGCATAGGGTGACGCTTCCTCCTCCAGTCTCCACCCACCCACGTATACCCTCAGGCGGTGATAGAATTTCTCGCCTCCATCTCCTACTCCGAGACTCCTTCCATGGTACCGGGCCTCCCACCAACAAAAATGGTGACGTACTTCATGGGTGGGATGTACCGGACCACCACCCTGGACGAATTGAACGTGTCCATTGGGTTCGTCCAGCCCGAGGACGTCCTAACTTGGGATTACCAGGAGGCCATCTGCGCACGCCCCACCAACCTCACCGCCGGCGAAATGTGGGAAGAGCTGACCGGGGTGCACACCCTGCCAACACTGCTGAAGGGCTCCGCACTTCCCCTTGCCCTCCGCATCTGCCACAAGCTGCTGGCTGGGACTGTCCACGGGCGGAAAGAGAGTCAGGGTAAGGTCACCCTTCCAGATCTCTTCGCCCTCTACTACATGAGCCAGAGGCGCCGGTGCAACCCTGGCTATTTCTTCCTGAAGGCCCTCAAGGACTTCGGGAGCCGGCCCGTGGGAGCCATCCTCATGGCTCCCATCATCACCCCGTTGATAGAAAAATGGGGGTGCAGTGGCAGGGAAGAATTGGCCTCCAGCCTCCGACCCAAAACTATCAACGGGTTTGTCCTGGTCAACATGGGGATGTTGCTACGCCAAGGGACCCGGTTGATCCTCCACCCTTCGTTGGACATAACTTTGGATCTCCGGGACCTCGTAGCAATGCAAGATCTTCCGACACCCCCGAAGTTCCAACAACAACAGCAGCAGCAACAACAACAGCAGCAGTACATGGAAGACTTTGCTGGCATCAACCGCAACATCTACGATTTGTGCCAGCAATTCGACCAAATGTCCATGAGACAAGAGCAAATGTCCCTAAGGCAAGATGCCTTCGACATGAGAATGAAGACATTAAACCAATACCAAAAGGGAATAAGGCAGGACCTGACAACATTCCGACAGGAGTACCGCGACGAAGCCCGGGATCAGGCAGAATTCCGAAGACATCTATACCAGCAATTCCCCTCTTACGGATCGTCTTCAGACTCGAGTCCACCATCTTAGGGATAATGCTTAGAAAATAAACTGCTGTAATAAATTTTTATCATAAATAAAAATTTCATTTCATGCATTTTGCTCTCCTTTTCAAAGAGTCAGCGTAACCAAAAGAAACTAAGAGTAAAAAGACTTACGCTCAAAAAAGCCAAAATCCAAAATCGCGAGAAAAAAGAGATAAAACTGCGGAAAAAGGCAGGATTAAAACAAGTTAATCACCTTGACCAACAATTTTTCGACAACCAAGCAACAGTCGAACAACAATAAACAAAGACTACCCGACAGCCACCAAGCCGGATGATCACCAGAAAAATCAAAAGAATCCCCAGCAACCAACAAACTGGATGAACACCAACAAAGTCCCCGGCACAGACCGGACGACCATTCTCAGAAAAGACAAAACACAAAGACAAGAGAACGCATCTCGACGCTCGGCGCATGAGCCACCCGAGCAGTAAGCCGTCACCACCACCAATCCTACGCAGTGGACTGTACCAGTCTGATAGGGGGTTCATACCTATCGACCTGCGCACGCGGTGCGCCTGATCTGCGCTCGAGCCGGATCAGTAAGTCACAACTACCAGCCTGATGGGGGGTTCATACCCATCAACCGAAGGATCGGCTACCGTCAGAAGGAGTATCCTAAGGTCCTACCATGTGTCAACCGATGGGATCGGCTACCGTGAGAAGGAGTATCCTGGAGGTGCACAACACAATTTTCCTAGAAGATCAACCGTCGCAAGACGGGACGTCCGAAGGGTAACCGGGCAAGAGGGTCAACTCCTTTACCTTCCAGTCAATCTTCTTGGTACGACAGGCCAACAATCGACTGGTCAGGTAAAGGGGGGGGGCAGTTGTAGACCCCAAATCTTTCCCGGTCTCATAATAAAGACCAGAAGACCTCCTTTTCGAAGATGGATGAAACCTAAGAAGCCATTATGAGAGACTATTAGGCCCCATACTAGGATAGGAAGGATTTTCTACATTAAAATAAGGATTTTCGCCTTCAGGGATCGATACCGCTTTCGGGACCGCTGTCTCGCCATTCCAGCAAGTCGAGACCGCCGTCTTGTTTGGCGAGACGGCCGTCTCGCCACTTGCGAATGGCGAGAACCCCCTCCCGATTGGCGAGAAGACCTTCTCGATTTTGGAAAAGTCGATACGGCCGTCTCGACCTGACAAGCGTGAATCCCTATAAATAGTGAGCGCTCCCCCCCCCCCTCATTTCACATAGATCTTCCACTTTCCCTTTTACAACTTCTTCAAATTCTCTTCCTAGAACCCCTCTGAAGCATTTCCGGAGTTTCTGAGAGTTTTTTAGAGTTTTTATAACGTTTCTGAGAGTTTTCCGGCGTTGTAAAGAGCAAAGGGCTGCCAAAACGCACCCTAATTTTCAAGAGTATTAATAAAAAGCTTGCCTCGGAGGTTTCTTCATTCTCCCTCTCTCTCTTACTGTCTTTATTTTTATGATTAAATTGCATGATAGACATTAGGGTCATGTAGTCATTATTTTAATTCCGTTAATAAAAGGGTAAAAGCGTCTTTTCAAAAAGTTTATTTATAAAATAGCTGGCCTATCATAGGGAACCCGAAAGGGACGTCATAAGGGAACTAACACTTCCCTTACACGTAACTAACTCCCTTACCTAAACTCTGGTTTTAACGACCAAAGTTGGTTTTCGAAAACCAACGCCTTTTTACCCCTTTTTTGATGTTTTCGATAAAAACATCGGTGGCGACTCCATAAGAACCCCTTCAAATTAGTTCTTGGGTTAGTCCGATTATCGGACAACTCAAGAACACCCTTTTCAAAAAACCTCGCCCCTAGGTTTAGCCCGGTTATCGGACAACCTAAAGGCGTTGTAACCACACCCATAAAAACGCGAAAATTGGAAAAGTCGGAACCATCGCGTCGCTCCGACCGTCTCTTTTTGACGGCGGCGACATTTCAATGTAATTTCTCTTATAAAAGTTTTTGTTTTGTTGTTAATAATATTTTTTAACCTACTACTTTCTCCCAAGCATCTAAATTGTATTATTGACAAAAGGTTATGAATGTTGAGTTACAAGCTTTACAGCAAAATAACACCTGATCTATTGTTGATCTCCCATAAGGAAAGAGTCTCATTGGTTGTAAATGAGTTTATAATGTTAAATATCATGTAGATGACGTTGTTAATAGATACAAAACCCGCTTAGTGGTCAAGGGCTACACTCATATAGAGGGAGTGGATTATTTTGACACATTCTCCCCAGTTGTCAATATCACCATTGTCCATGTTCTTCTAGCCATACCAGCAGTTAAAGGATGGTTTCTGCACCAGCTTGATGTGAATAATGTCTTTCTTCATGGAGAGCTTCATGAGGAAGTCTATATGGTCCCTCCACCTAGTTTGCTTCCATCGAGTTCTTCTTAAGTTTGCAAACTTCACAAGTCGTATGGAATCAAGCAAGCCAGCAAGCAATGACACAATATTCTTTCTATTACTCTTTTATCTCTCAACTATAAACAATCTTTCGCTGATCAATCTTTATTTGTCAAGGTTATTTTTACTTCTTTCATAGTTTTATTAGTTTACGTGGATGACATTGTCTTAGATGGTGATGATATGGATGAAATTAATTCTGTGAAATGTATTAGATACTAAATTCAAGATTAAATATATTGATGCTCTTTGTTATTTTTTAGGATTAGAAATTGCACGGTCCAAGTTTAACATTCACATGAATCAACGTAAATACACTCTTGAACTTCTTGATGATAGTGATTTACTTGGTTCCAAACCTGCTACCACTCCTTCTGATCCCTCTACTAAACTTAAGGTTAATCATGGACAACCGTATTCTGATACTGCTGCTTATCGCAAATTAGTCGGTAAACTCTTATATCTCACACTTACGCTTCTTGACATTGCCTTCTTTGTCCACCAATTTAGTCAATTCATGGCTCAACCTCTTGATGTTCATTATAAAGTTATCATCCGAGTTCTTAGATACTTGAAAGGTTCATCTACCTAAGGGTTATTTTTCTCTGTTTCTGTTGACATTCGTCCTTCTGTTGCTGATTCGGACTAGGCCTGTTGTTTGAACACTCGCCACTCTATTACCGAATTTTGTGTTTTTCTTGGTTCTTCCTTGATTTCTAGAAATCCAAAAAGCAATATACTGTCTCTCGTTCATCCTCCGAAACAAAATATCAAACATTAACCAACCTCACTTGTGAGATTCAATCGTTATATTATCTTTTTCGTGATCTTCATGTTTTATTGGGTCCTACCTGCAGTCTATTGTGACAATCAGTCTATAATTTATTTAGCTCATAATTCTGTATTGCATGAGCGCATTAAATACATCAATATTGATTGTTGGTTAATGAGAAAATTCAACAAGATCTAATTCATCTTTTTTGTTTTGTCTTTCAATCAACTTGTGAATCTTTTTACTAAACTTTTTTATCATACAATTTTTGACAATTTTATATGGATCTTTATGATATCCACCATCTAACTTAAGAGAGAGTACTAACATAATTATTTTTCTATAACAAATATTATTTTTCCTTTTATATATATATATATATAGTCATATTCCATTAGAAGGTGAGAAATTCATAATAAAAATGTATGAATTTCTTCCTGTGTACGGAGAGTAAAAACAACCAAACTACTTAATGCCACTGTGAGAACACAACTATTGGAAAAAAGAAGAAGAAAAACACCAGAATATATCCACGTGAGACTTTTCTTGACTTCTCTGTATGTGTGAGGGGTTAACGAATGGGACCGCGAACATCACGGACTCTGTCCCAAGATATAACTGCACCATAGTTAGAAGCTTGCTTTACAAAGGGAAGCACATTTGATGGTATATAGCCTCCAATAGGGGCTGCGTCCGGCGCAGCTGGTAATCCCAAGAAGACGGTGTTGTTGGGAGGAACGTAGGAGGTCCAACTTTTCCTTTAATTAAAAAGTAACGCAGTATTGCCAGGTGAGTATTGAAATGGAGGGTTATTGCAGAACTGAGCAAACACATAATCAAGAATCCCAGTTTTGATAGCTACGTGGAGGTAGTAATCTCAATTGCTTACACCCTAACCTTAATACAGAAAAATTTCTTAATCGTGTGAAGAATCAATATTTATTAGATTTTCTTATGAATTTCATGTGTGAGGAATCAATGATTTGAGTAGATGACATTATCATTGTTAGGTTAATTGACATTCTTAATTGACATAGTCATTCCAAAAGAAGAATAAAGAAGAAAGTTCATCCTAAATATCTTTAATTGATATTTTCTCAACAATTGATAATTTTATTGAAACTATTCGTTGTAGGATTCACTTTTATTTAATTAAAATGTTATATTGGATTTAATAATCTTATTATGTTTGCCAATAATTCAAATAACTGTACTGCTGCTCACAAGGGTTGTTGTAGAACTGAACCCACACATAATCAAATAGGCCAGTTGCGATTGATGAGTCGAAGTGAGCATCAGGGTATGGACATTGTGGAGCAGCAGCCAATAATACTTTCCTTTCAGTGCTAGACCCAGCAAGTTCGCTTGCAAGGTCGTCATAATGTTCGGTTCCACCATTCTCAATGTCAAAGTCTATCCCATCCACTATAGCATCACCTTTAGAGTCGTCAGATGAACTGAGAGTGTAGCTCCCAGAAGCACCTCCTATGGAGAGGAACACTTGGATGCCTTTGTCTTTGTAATGCTTGATTTCATCTCCTAATCCGGTGCACCCATTGCTGTTTGGATCACAATGCCCTGCAAGGTTTAATTGTGGGTTTTGCCCATTGCCGAAAACGGTCAGAAAAGCTAAAGCACATAGTTGTAGTTCCCAGTGTCTCAAGTTTCCTGCAAAGTGCCTTCATTGGCGTTTTGGCCCCAATATACAACAATGTCACCAGCATGGCAGGACTGGAATAGGGTAATGAACAACAAAGGGCATAGTAAGAGGGGTGAAACTTGTTTCAGGGCTACCATGTTTCTATGATAATAATTTAATTTGCTGGTTGGTTGAGAATGTGAGAGAGGGTACCATTTTATGGGTGTTGGAGAACGCGTAGGTTGGGGGAAGAATTATGAAACCCTGCCTTGTTGGCAAAGAAATTGTTGCTTGCGTGTGTCTCAGGAAAGAAAAGTAGAAAGCTCCTACTTCCTCTCAATCTCTGCTCTGAACTCTTCACTCATTAAATGGAATAGCATGCTCGTAAAGGACCATCATGGTGGCAAGACAAATTACAATTATATCTTAGTGGTAAACTTGAGATATATGCTGGTTATGAAGTTTTTATATCTTTCCATGTTTATATGATACTTGATTAACTGTTATTAGTTTTATTTTATAAAGAAAAAATTAAACATAATTAATAAAAGTAAAAATAAAAAGAAATATGAATTATAAAAAATATGAAGGGTATGTTCATTGCAACCACTTTTATCCAGGGAGAATGGTTGAAATGCTACACAACCATTGTCAATAGGTTATTATCCAAAAGAAACATTTATGTCTAATAAATTACTGCCACTTAAATGTTACAACAGCTGCCATCAATATTGAAATATGTGTTATAAATTTGTTGGTGATATCGGGTCTTTAAAACGAGTAACCAATAGTAATAAGAGAAACACTACTAAATATGTAGTTAATGGAAAATTGAATTATTTAATATTATATCATGTATTACATAATTATTATTTAACACAACCATTTAGTACAGTAATTGATTTACCATTCAACTTCCTTTTTATTTTTTTAATCTTTAATTATTCAAAAGGTTCATTATAATACTAATATATATGTGGCTCTTTTTACTTCCTTTTTATTTGTTTAATATTTGATTATTCAAAAGTTTCATTATAATATTCATCTCGTTACTCTTTTATATCACAATATTCAAACATAAATTTCTTCTTTTTTACTTCATCTATCATGAAATAAAATCTTAATCAAATATATTTATTTTTTTCATGATGAATTCGATTTTTTTTTACTAAATTGATGGTTGACTTATTGTTAATATTCAGTGACATAGTCTTTTTTGGTTTTTGAATTGAATTTTTTATTAAATTGATTACTGACTTATTGTCAATCTTCACTGTCATAATTTTTTTCTTTTTTGCCTTTTAAGGACTCGATTCACCAAGTTCTCAATCCATAACGCTTGACATGTTATGTAAGTAGCAATCATGTACTCGGTTCAGTAAAAAGGAAAATGCTACAATAGGTTGTAACTTTAAACACCATGAAATCGATGAATTTTCCAATAATACATATGATGTACTTTTGAATCTAACTTTATCACCAACCCAATCATAATCGGAATATACGATCAATTCTCATCTATTTTGATATATAGCATTTGGTAATAGAATATAAAAAACAATCGTTTATTTAATATACTTCAAAACTTTCTTCGCTGCTACCAGATGAGAAGCTTTGGGTTTTTCCATAAATCTGTTCAACAACCCAACACCAAAACAAATATTGGGCCTACTACAACATAAGTACCTTAGGTAGTCAACCATTTATCTGTAAACCGTAACATTTACAGGTTTCTCATCTTCATTTTTGTCAAACTTCAAATTTATGGTGTAGTCGCTACATTACATTCACTCATCTTAAATTTCTTTAGTACTTCTTTGTCATATTTACTTTGGTAAATCAAAATACTTTTCTTACCCTCGATGAATTCCTTTTCCAGAAAATATGACAACTTTCCTAGATCGATAATTTCAAACTAATCTTGTATTCTCCTGAAGCATCGATCTAAACAAGTTTACTGCCTACAATCAACAAATCATCGATATATAAGCAAATAATTAACACATCATTTTCTTCAATCTTCAAGTAAATCTCATACTCAAGTTCACACTTCAAGAATCTTTATAGTCGAAGACAACCATCGATTTTAGATTTTAGTGTTTCAGGCTATCGGGGTCTGCTTCAAGCCATACAACATCTTCTTCAATCTAAAAACATCTTCTTCTACAACAATCATAAATATTGGTGGTTGTGTAACATAAACTTCTTCCTCCAATTCACCATTCAAAAATGCAGATTTTACATCCATTTGATGTATCTTCCACCCTTGATAGCTAGCGAGAGCTACAACTATTTTTATCGTTTCCATCCTAGCAACGAGTGCATACACTTCTTTATAATTTAATCCTTCTCTCTATAGAAATCTTTTTGTCACAAGTCTAGCTTTATATCTTGTAATTGCTCTGTCTTGTTTTAACTTCGTCTTGTACATCCATTTTACTTCAATTGGTCATTGATTCTCTGGGATATCAGTTAATTCACATGTTTTATTCTTCTCGATTGCCAACAGCTCCTCTTTCATGATTTCGATCCACTTGGGATCATCGATCACTTATTCAAAGCAAACTGGTTCAGGCTCGACATTAGCATCTAGTGTTAAGTGTACAAGATCATTCTCGTCTTCCATTTCTCCAACCATTTGTCAAGTTGTTGTGATAGTATCATCAATATTGATTACATAATTATTGAGTCTAGCTGGTGTCTTAATCAATCTAATTTGTCGATTTCTCCTCCCTTCAATTTCAAAAATTGATCGATTTATGTCTTCTTTAATTTCTCATATTGATCGATTTTCACATCCTTCGATACTAGAAATCGATTGATCTTTATCGTTAATTTTTGTATCACCTAAGTCATTGAATCTAACACTTCGATTTTCCACTGTCAAACATCATTTCCAACAATCTTTCTCATTTACAACAACATCTCTACTGATGATGATCTTTTTCTTGATAGGATCATACAACTTATACCCATCATTGTTGTATTCTCCACCACCATCTGATCTCAACACTTTAATAACTCAACCACATTGTTTCTCGGTCATCGATTTAAATTCAATAAAATTACTAAACATCTCTAACTTGTTCTCGAGCAAGTAGACTCACATCTTCTTACTATAGTCATCAATAAAAGTCACAAAATTATTATTAACATCTGGTGAAGAAACATTGAAAGGTTCACACACATCGATGTAAATAACCTCCAACACATTCTTGTTTCTGGTCTCGATGCATACTTTAAAAAGATTTCTGACTTGTTTTCCTGTCATACAACCTTCACATATGTCTTTACATTTTTTACTCAAGATAATCTAATCATCATCCCCTTTTTTACAAGCTGGCTCAAACTATCAAAACCAAGATGACCAACCTTAAATGCCACAAATAGTTGACATCAGAGAATGCTCAGATGTGCCTTCAAAATTGGTGTTTCGTGCTTATCGAGGATTCTCAATATCTCCTCCCTTGATCTCCAATCGATCAAATGTCCTTTCTGAAGAAGTTGACCGATGATTATCTGCAAATTTCACCTTCGATTTCATGTTTTCATCTAGATCAATGAATCAACTCTTCTAAAATGACATATGATTCGAGCAGTCAGTATCCAAATACAACGATTCACCAAAAGTCTACATTGGTTTCATCGTGGTCACCATTAATAACACTTCATCCTCCAAGTCTTCTTTTTGTGCAACATTTGTCTCTTCTTCTTTGCTCCAACAGTTAACAGCATAATATGGTCATCCTTGTGACAGTTGTAACATTGTACATTCTTCTTACCAGCACAAGAACCAGATCGACACCTCTCCATTTTGAGTTTTTGTCTTTATCACCTCTCAATTTTGAAGAACTCTCATATTACCCTTCTAAGTCTTGTTCACCGTTATTTCTACCTGTTTCCTCTTCCTCGACCTTTCTTGTTTGATTTTCCTTTATTCTCATTATTCTTCTTATTTTGTTTCGTCAACAACACTTGTTTTGTGTTTGACTTCTCTTCCACTCTCTCACGTAATTGTTGTTCGTGAGTCTTCAATGACCCTTGTAGTTCATCAAGTTTCAACAAATCAAGATCTTTTGACTCTCCGATAACAATCGAAATTATATTGAATCTTGCATCGAGGATCTTCAACACCTTCTCTACCATCGTTCATTCCTTTAGGCTTTCACCACATGACTTCATCAAGTTTGTGATCGACAATAATCTTGCAAAGTATTCTTGGATGGTTTATTGCGTCCTCATCTGCAACAACTCATACTAACTATGCAAGGTTTGAAGTCGCATCAACTTCAACCACTCTCCGCTTGAGTAATTGTGCATCAGTATATCACATACTTTTTTCGCCAAGTTTGCGAATAAAATTTTCTCAAAGTTGTTTTCATTAACACAGATAAATATAGAACATAGTTTTGCAATCACGTTTCTTTTTTCTCGAAACGTCATACGCTATGCCTTGATGGGGTTCTTGAAAACCAAAAATGATCTTCATCTTCACATACAAACTACCATACACATTCAGGTTCTTGCTATCGAGTACTGGCATATTGTTATGCAACTCAGTTCCTATCATCATCATTATTTTTCTTCTTCTTTTTTCTTTTTCTTCTTTCCGAATCTTAAAGCTCTTAGATACCATTGATAGCAAAAAAAGGATTTTAAAACAAGAAATAGTAATAAAAGAAAAATATATACTAAATATAAATTGTATTCAATTTAAAAACTGGGCTATACAACATCATAAGATATACTACAAAGACACAATATATATAGCTAAATCTAAAATTAGTCAAGCTAATTAACTAACAAAATATTACATCATAATTATTGAATTATTAATAATTATATAGGCAGAAGTATTGCTAATAATCCGACCTACCTAGAAAGCTAGCTCGTTTATATACAGTTTCAGGCTAAGCAGCATATGTGAGTTAATTTGGTTTGCATAGTTTACAAAACAAATTCTGATTCAACCCAATGTATAATAAAATACGATTTTAATTAGATATATTATTTTGTTTTTACTGGTATATTTTTACTTAGTTATATATCATGTCCAAAAGCATATTATAGTGCAAAAAATTTATCAATATGTTAAACATAGGTTCGGTTTATATATTTGAATTGAAATTCATAAAGCCTTTAACTTTAAGGGTATTTGGTTTAGTTACAAAGTTATAAACATTTAATAATTCAGCCTTTTATAAACGGTGCGAGAAAAGTTTGAACGAGGACAAAGGTGATCTCTTGAACAATTAACTTCTATACAGACACACTTAACTTTTAGGTTGGTATATCAATTGCTAAACAATCAGATCTAGTTCTCTCTAAATATCAGTTTGGTTTGGATTAGTTTGATTTTAGAAACATCATCCGAAAGAGT